AACCTGGGGATCTTCAGCTGCTTTCAGGAAGCTGCATCTGTTTCAAGCAATAGGAAGAAAATCTTGTGCCTGTGTACAGGAGGTGGTAGCAGCTATCACCAGAGCTCCCCAGCTGAAAGCTTTTGTACTCTGAATCATTTTGATATCACATACCTAAAGTACCTGAGGAGCTCTGCAGGAGACACAGCAGGAAGCTCACTGCCAAGCTGCCCGTTCTCATAGCATGTGTTTGCTTCTACACAAGTGCAACTTAACTCCCCAGCCAGACCACAAACCATGGCCATGGCCTCCACTCAGCCACCAAACCTGGCTCAGAGGAGCTGCCACCCTGTCAGCCTCCCCAGCAGCCTGAGTCCTGCGTCAGCAAGCGTTGCTCTGGGCACACATAAGCTGTCCCTAAGTCAAAGCTGCAAGTTGCGTTTCCTGGCTGTGACAGGGGACCAAGAGCCGCGTAAAAGCCAGATGAATAAATCTCAAACACCAAGACAAGGAATATCTCCCAACTGAGTCTGTGATCTGCTGGGTTTAGATCTGCTGGGTTTAGCTTATCCAGCAACCCTGGCTTAGTCATTTCTTTCGGGACAGCCCCGTATCAGCCTGAAGGGGCACCACAGCTTTATCCCTGTGCTCTTGGCCTCACTTCCTCTCCAGGGCTACCTCCAGTACGTCAAAAGCCTGCCGCTCAATGATAGCCCAGAGCTCTTTGGTTTACACGACAATGCCAACATCACCTTCGCTCAGAATGAGACTTTTGCTCTGCTGGGGGCCATTACACAGCTGCAACCCAAGACCTTCACACTGGGAGGCCGCAGCAGGGAAGAGGTGGGTGCCCCAATCCCGTCAGTGCTCTGGCAGCCAGTGCCTGGTACAGGCAGCGAGCACAAATACCAGCTCTCAGCAGGTGCCACCCTGCCTGCTGGGTGCCAGCAATGGCTCTGCCATCCAGGCGTTAGCTCTCCCCCTTCTTGGCAGCCATGGCTAGGAGGATGCTCACCCACTTCTGCCTTTCTTCCAGCTCATGGAGGAGACCTCCAAGGACATTCTGGCAAAGCTGCCTGCCCCCATGAACCTGCAGGAGGTGATCCACAAATACCCACTGCTCTACGAAGAGTCCATGAACACAGTGCTGGTACAGGAGGTGATCAGGTAAAACCCCTGTGGGATCATGTCATGGGCCAGCAACCGGCTGGTCCCTTGGGGAACCAGCAGAGATGTGCAGGCCCCTGCTCCCACCCACCTCTGAGGAACCTCATTGCTGAGCATGGCAGTGGGGTTGGCAGCCATGCTAACAACTGTGTTGTCCCAGCCAGGACCTTCAGCTGATCCCTGTCCTGTGAGGACCGATCAGTGTCTGCATCCGCTATCGTCAGCAGTTCAGGGCTGGGGGGGGCAGCTATGAGACCCCGTTAAAGAGGAATGGGGCTAGGGGTTACATGGAGGAGCTTCACTTGTCATACAGAGATCCATACCCTCTCTGGGCAGACACGGCCAATAAACCACTGCGCTGAGTCGCTCTGCTCCCTCTGCTCTTCCTCTGTAGGTACAACAGGCTCCTAGAGGTGATTGCTCAGACACTGAAGGATTTGCTGAAAGCTCTCAAGGGCCTGGTTGTGATGTCCTCTCAGCTGGAGCTGATGGCCAGCAGCTTGTACAACAACACTGTCCCCGAGGTGTGGAATGACAAGGTACGTGCCCTGGCCAGCCCAGCTGCCTGCAGGAGCTCACCCGAACCAGGGGTATGGGTCATCAGCCACCACAGCTGGACTGGGCTGTCTCACATGGAGCTGGCTCTTGCTCCACGGGCATGGAGACATCTCCTGCCTAGTGCGGCTCGCAGTTGTTCCCAGCCCCAGGCTGGATGAAGTCCTGGGCAGCTGTCAGCAACTGGGGCACAAGGTCTAGGGTGTCCTCGATTGTGTTCAACCCTTCCTCTGGGTGCCCCACAGGCCTACCCGTCACTGAAGCCCTTGGCATCCTGGGTGAACGACTTGGTGCAGCGGATTGAATTCCTGCAGAAATGGATCAGCCACGGGATCCCCTCCGTGTTCTGGATCAGTGGGTTCTTCTTCCCCCAGGCCTTCCTCACCGGGACACTGCAGAACTTCGCCAGGAAGTCTGCCATCTCCATTGACACCATCTCATTTAGCTTCAAGGTCAGTAAGTCAGCCAGAGGCTCTGGATTTTTCTGGATTTTTTTTTTTTAATCTGCTGCTAGAAGGCCACAAAGGCAGCAGTTCTAGCCCTGACCTGCCCAAGAGGCGAAGGCACTAACTGTACAGCTGCCCATGGACCCCATCATCCCCTTTGTGCTGATACACCCACCCACACTGCCCGACACCTCCATGAGGCAAGCAGAGGCTTCTCTGCCTCTCGAGACCTGCTCACATCCCCCTCCACAGGCTTTGGCACAGGCCGCCCCACAGCCTCATGATGTGAGATGCCAGAAAACCCAGCCCAGCCCATCTGAGAGCTGGGGCAGGCTCCCCTTTGGCAGTGCTGACTCAACTAAGAGCAGCTTAAGGGGGTCCTTGGGGCTGAGCCTCCAGGGACATGCCTAGACATGGGCCCGCTCTCCTCCGCAGGTAATGAAGGAGTCGGTGAGCGAGCTCACTCACCATCCCGATGAAGGCTGCTACATCCACGGCTTGTTTCTCGAAGGCGCCCGCTGGGACCCCGCTGCGTTTCAGCTAGCGGAGTCGCGCCCCAAGGAGCTTTACACAGAGATGGCAGTCATATGGCTGCTTCCTGTCCCCAACCGCAAGCCTCCGGCCACCGGCACCTACCTGTGCCCAATCTATAAGACTCTCACTCGCGCAGGTAGGTGCCCTAAAGACAGGTCTCCAGAAGCAAGGGAGATTGTAAAAGCAGCTAGGAAGGGCAGCCCAGGAGAGGCTGCAGGCGTTCCTCCTGCCACACTGGCATGGAGCGAGGCAGTGTTGGCTGAGACCATCCAGGGAGAAAAAGATTTCCCCTGCTGTGGTCACGGAGACGGAGCAGCCAGGCACTCTGGCTATATCGCAGTGCCTCTGGCCAAGCTCTCCTCAAGCCCACACCCAAAAATACACAAGCCTGTTTCCCCCAGTCCTGCTCAGCCTGTCATCTAGCACAGAGATGGGACAGGGGATCTCACGTAGGGTCACTTCTAAGGGACTCCCTGGTCAATGTGCAGCAGCCAGGGCTGCAGTACCACCCTCTTGCCCTTGCTTCCCCTATTACAGGCACACTGTCAACAACGGGCCACTCCACCAACTACATAATTGCTGTGGAGATCCCTACGGACAAGCCGCAGAAGCACTGGATCAAACGGGGCACAGCCTTGATCTGCGCCCTGGACTTCTAGCCAGAAAACCCACGCAGCCCAGGAAACCATCCCAGCTGAGGGCCTGAGCCGGGGCCTCCGCTGTCCTGCACAGAGGTAGGCAGTGCGGGCAGGCAGCAGGAGCCAAGCGCTGACTGCCAGCAGCTGCCCCCCCTCTCCTCCTGCCTCTGAGCTGTGTCAATAAATCGAGCTTGACTCCACCAGCATCACATTCACCTGGTGGTGTTGCAATCCCCACAATTACCTCAAGTTTTTAGCACACAGAAGAGCTGTCAGTGGGGACAGCGGGGCCTGGAGCAGGGACTTGGTGCTCCCAGCCCCTCTGCCTTCCCTCGCACACCCCTCCCTTGGCTGGCTGTTACAGGATAGCTTTATTCCTTCAGACAGATCCATTATTTACAGAACTCGATACTAGACACAGCAAGAGACAGAAGGATTTTCTTCCCTTCAACAAATACCAAAAGAACAGTTTCATTCCATAGTCAAGATCTGTACAAATTTGCACATTTGCAAAATTCAGTCCTCTCCTGTGGCAGCTCCCCTTGGCCCAGCTATGCCTCAAGACCTCTCTGGAGAGAGGTGCTGACCTCTGGCTGCTGTTATTTCTGCCAGGCTGCTGGGGACAGGCAGGAGAAGACCATGTGCAGGAGCGCTGGCTGGGTTGGTAGAAGGCAGCAGGCAAGGCAGGCCAGGCTCGCCTGCTGCGGTAGGAAAGGGGGTAAGCTCTGGGTTAGCAGCCAGTGAGCGGCTTGGGTAGGAGCAGAAGCTTTAGGCTCCCTCCACTGCTTCTGCCCACCACTGCAGTCCCCATCCCACCTGGACCATTACAGCTACGCTGAAAGGCTTCGCCAAGGGCACCAAGTGACTCCACGGCCAGCGTCCACCCCGGCGCCGAGCCCAGCAGCACCGAGGCCACTCTATGAACTTGGTCTGTTCATAATTCACTGGGTTTCTCTGGGGACGGGGCCTGGGGCAAACCTGCGTGACCCACAGGCACTGCCAAGGCCACAGCGCCAGTCCCCAGGAAAGCAGCCATGGCAGCAGAGCCATGCGCTGCCCCCCAGCACCACCACAGAGGGCTGGGCACAAGGCCCAGCTCCAGGGACGAGCCC